GATTGGACAAGAGAGGGAGCTCGTTTTAGCTGCTAACAGATTAACTGATGATCTCAAGAAGAAATTGGAATTGTAAGTGCATGCTCGTTTTTTATGCACTAAGAATTCTGGCAATGGCCTTTTGCTGTCTGAAATTTTTTTATGCATTGATGCAAAATTGCAGAACATCTTCCGCCCTTGTTGAGCGTCAAAATGAAGTCACGGCTCTAAATCGGGAGAAAGCTTCACTCACTGATTCTCTAAACAGTAAGCGTCTATGACTTTGTCGGTTTCATTTTTCACGCACTGCATTTTTAGAAGCCAGTTCTGAGCTGACTGCTCTTCAACAGCTGCATGCTACCGAAGTAAAAAGGCTCAATGCTGATGTTATACTTCGCAACGACACTATCGATAAGTTATCGCGTGAGGTAAGTAATTTTCTCAAGAAACTGTTGGTTTTTAGCCAGTGAAGTTTCATTTGTATATCGCATTTTGAATTCCAAGGCTTTTTTGCAGGCGGAAGCGATGCAGGCAAAATTACAAGCCAAAGAACAGGAGTGCGAAAACTACATGAAAGAGGTATAGACATTTGGAATTAATTTTTTTAAAGTTCAGCATCCTTTTCCTTGGATAGCTGATCTTACCATGTGCAGTCAACTTTTTTTTAATGTTATGATTCAATTGAAAGTGAAGAACCTGATTTTTCTGTCTTAGCTGGATTCCGTACGATGTCATGATCAAAAAACGCAAGCTGACTTGGAACGAATGCGTAAGCTGAGGGACGAAATGCGGAAGCTTACAGAGGGATTTGACTGATTGTAGATAGGTTATAGCAGTTCGACTATGATTGTAGACAGTCGTTTTTGCACCACTTTTCTTGCAGCAAGCGCTGCCCCTTTAGGACGTTAATAGTTTTGTCGCACTATTCTCAAACAATCACAGCCAAATTGCGTAATTCTACTTTTTTTTTTAGAATTTGTGAGCTTTGTAAGAGCATTCGAGCGGCTGCTATAGACAAGTGGCATAAATTCTATCTAATGCATAAAGAATCGTAACACAAAACCTCAGATAGCGGGAACCACAATGCGGTCCCGAAGCGCGTGGATGCAAATCTAGCATTTTTAGGATCATGGTTCACTATTTTTTTGGAAATGTAAAAAAAAATTGAGGATTGAAGAATTAAAACCTTCCTAACACATACGGTTTCATCCTCTTCAAAATTTTGAGAATAGGAAGTTTCTCAGGTTTTTTCTGATTTTTTGAACATAGTGCAACAAAACTTCCAT